GCCGCCCAGCGCGTTGTGGCCCTTCGTCACAGCCTTTCACCAAAGCATCAACTGTGCATCTCATATACAAGGCCGACAGGGTACAATCCAGCCATTGGCAATTTTATTCTCAATTGAGTGATACCCTGTTACGTTGCGTTGTTATTGCCCTTCTGTGTTGTTCATTTGAGAGTATTTTTCTTATTCCTGTCAAAGCAAACTGGCGACGCTCTTACACTATTCTTTGGCTCTTTGGCCTCGTTGTCCACCATCCCACCATCCCACGTCCGTTCTGAATTCGCCGCCTTCACCGCTTCTCATAAGCAGGAAGCTCCACTGCCCTCTCCTCTATCTCCAGTCCGCCGACTCAAATACCACCCACCACCACCGCCACTACCTTCACCACCACCCGCCGACATACAAATAGAAGTACGGCGTCACACCATCGCCATGGTTCAGCCAGCAGCCGCAGCAAAACCTGCGGCCGAACCCGGCATATATAGTGCCACGTACAGCGGTGTAAGTCTGTCTTTCTCCCTCTCCCCCGGCCTCGTTCTTCAATTCCCTTCCTTGCCTGTCCATCCCAGCCCATTGTTGAACTCGGTCATGTTGTCTCGCTGATCGCCGATGTCTCTGCTCAGATACCCGTGTACGAGTACCAGTTTGGCCCCGAGCTTAAGGAACATGTGATGCGCCGAAAAGTGGACAATTGGATCAATGCCACCCATATCCTCAAGTGTGCTGGCTTCGATAAGCCCGCCCGCACCCGCATCCTCGAGCGCGAGGTCCAGAAGGACGTTCACGAGAAGATCCAGGGTGGATATGGCAAATACCAGGGCACATGGATCCCGTTAGAATCGGGTGAACAGCTCGCCCGGAGGAACAACATCTACGACCGCCTGCGACTCATCTTCGAGTATACGCCAGGGGGTGAAAGCCCACCACCCGCTCCCCGCCACACGAGCAAGCCCAAAGCGCCTCGGAAACCAGCCGTGCCAAAATGGAATAGTACGTACTTATCTTGGGCCTAATGATGGCCAGGCCCCTCACCAGTAAGAACATTTCTAATGTGAACATATTAGATCCTCCACCGCTGCCGCCGCCGCCGCCACCGCCGAGAGAGGAGTTCGAGAGCGCAAATCAACCAATTAACGAAGATGATACACCCGATAATGTGACCGTCGCCTCCATGTCATACATGGCAGAGGACGACCGCCACGACCTGTCTCACTTCTCGACCGGCCATCGCAAGAGAAATCGAGACGAGACCATCCAGGATCTAACCGAACAACAACACTCTGTCTATGGCGACGAGCTTCTTGATTATTTCCTCCTCTCCAGGCAAGAGGAGGTTACGTTCCGACCCGAACCCCCCCCTAACTTCCAGCCCGACTGGTACATTGATTCTGAAAAGCATAGCGCTCTCCACTGGGCAAGCGCTATGGGCGACGTAGATGTCATCAAGCAGTTGAAACGGTTTGGGGCCAACTTGGGGGCGCAGAACTGCCGAGGCGAGACGCCCTTTATGCGCTCTGTCAATTTTACCAATTGTTATGAGAAGCAAACATTTCCTGCGGTAATGAAAGAGCTCTTCGACACGATCGCCATCAGGGATGACTCGGGTTGCACTGTCATTCATCATGCTGCTATCATGAAGAGTGGCCGGGTACAAAGCCAATCATGCTCCCGTTATTACCTGGACAACATCTTGAACAGACTTCAGGAAACTCATGATGCCAATTACGTCCACCAGCTTCTGGACATACAAGACCAGAATGGCAACACGGCCTTACACTTAGCTGCAAAAGCCAAGGCAAGGAAGTGCGTTCGTGCACTTCTCGGCCGCGGAGCCGCTTCCGATATTCCCAACGTCGACGGTGTCCGTGCCGATGAGCTAATCAAAGAGTTAAATGCGACTAGAAATATGAGAGAGCGAGCGCCACAGCGGTCTTCGTCCCCTTTTGCTCCCGAATCACAGCGCCATGTTTCGTTTCGTGACGCGTTATCCGATTCCGTTCCTAAGCTCGCGGTTTCATATAATTCGGAGGCGGCTAGTACTGTGCAGAATAAGATTACACCTATCGTACTTGAAAAATTTCAGAGTTTAGCTCGCAATTACGAAGAGGAATGGAAGGAGAAAATCGAAGCCGAAAACGAGGCTCGTCGGTTATTAGGCAATACACAAAACGAATTATCTGCGGTGCGTCAGCACATAGCCGATCTCGAGGCCAGCCTGGAGCCTCCGGAAGAAGCCGCGAAAGCAGTCAATGACTCAGCTATAGCCCAGGAGCAAGTATTGTCCCTGCTAGCAAGCCAAAGCAGATACCACATACAGACCTACGTCGAGCAGAGTCTGGCATTCATGAATGGAGACCAAGGCGAAGACTCGTATGAGGATCGGCTCCGGCTGGCGCACGAACTCAACGAGCTCCTGCATAGGCAGAGGGAGGCGGAACAAGAATATGTCAACGCGTTGGGCCATTCCGGTACTGGCGAGAAGATCGATAAGTACCGTCGACTGTTGAAGCAATGCTTAGACCGCCAAGACGCAGAGAACCTTGACGCCAACTTGGATGACCTAATCGATATGATGGAGGAAGAACGGAGCGAAGGAGCCGTGGCAATACCTGACCAAGGAGAGCCCATGATGATATGTTGATCTTTTCTGGTGCTTGCACATGTTTATCGAGTTGCCTCTGCCTTGTTTGCGTTGCGTATAGGATCAGAACGCCTATTCTTGTGATCATGATGATGAGGGTCTGTATATAATGGGTGCGTTGGTCTCGTTTCTGGCACGTGTACTCTAAGGTTTGCAATGACGATGATGAGCTAGACAACGTGGAAAGGGCTATGAGATGGTCGTCTCTGTACGACTATCCACGTCAGTTACACATGTAATCAACATACAAAACATGTTTACATAATGTCCCTTGTGAATCACACGTTGTGTTGTGTAGGCTACTGGTACGGTCGTTTGGATGGGATAGGGAAATAATAAATGAAGTTTAAGTATGTCTTAGGGATTTACTATATGTCTTCGCATAAGCCGTCACAGGAATGCGACCAACCTAAGAATCAAGCAGAGCAATGTTCACGGTAGATTGGGTGCCGTACAAAATCAACCGTTCACCCGATTCATACTATCCATCTCTACATTTATCGTATCATCTATGCTATCTATAATATCATACATTTCTTGTATCGCAGAAGTCGTACAAGCTCACAGCCCCTATACTAATAGTTCCGAGAAAAGACCAGTCTGTCATCAACTAAGCATCCCAAAGGCATCCGTGGCTTTGAGATACTAGTAATCTAGGAAATAAATACTTAGTGAGCAGACGAAAAAGGGAGGAGAGCGCCAGGTATCATAAGAATTAAATATAGACTCCAGACCCAAGGTGTAAGCCAAGAGCACAATGAAAGAAGGGAAATAGAGAAAAAGAGATTAAAAAAAAAGACAGAGAAAGGGGTAAAGGATAGAAAATAAGGGCAACCGAGAAAAAAAAAAAAAAAGAAGTATGGCCAACGAGGGAATCGAACCCCCAGGCCTAACGATATAGAGTAAGGATGATAACGCTCAGTAACGCTGGGTATGTAAATCATCGCTAGGCCATACCAACTCGGCCACTAGATCCTAATGCTAAAATGGTTTATATTGTACTCGTTGGATAGGCCTACGGAATGCTATGCTCGGGCCACGCACTTTAGGTTTTCGGAGGGTTAGGACACGTATGCAGTCCCGGGGAAGGCTGGGGAAAGCCCGAGGCGGGCAGAGGAAAGAGGGATAAGGTTTAAGGGGCCCCCCTCGTTTACTTCAATTTTCATATTGGGATATCAAGAGTCTGTGGACGGACTACCTAACGGGGATGTTGTGGCATAAAGGGGTTCCATTGTGACTTTGTATAAGGGGGGAAGCAGAGATCCTATCGCAAGATTACCTACATGAAAAGAAAGTGTAAAGCGCCACATACTAGGGATGGCATCATACAGGCTTAGTAAGTGCGCCCTCCATATTATCCAACACGTCATGTTCGGCGTCAAGAACCAGGAGGTATGTATTCCTTGATAACAACGGGATTCCTCAGTCGTAAGCCAGAGCAACAATGACCAGTGGCAATGGGTTCGTATTACTTAAGGCATATCGTCACACGTAATGAACATAGTCATGTGAGCGCGAGACTCTGCTAGGCCCCAGCTTTCAGCTCGACCTGGTCTCCCTAGCGGGACCAAAACAGGCAAGGAAGAGCGAGGTCATTCGGACATATTATCAATCTATATATCTCTTACGTGGGGGTAAAAACGTTCATAACTCTTCAATCTGGATGAAAGTGTACTGATAATTCGAATATGGTTTCCTAACTATCACTCCCAGCTCCTATATATATATATTAAGTCTAGCTAGTTTGTCATATTAATATTCAGCAATATGTTTACATAAAAGTCAAGTGAAAGCCGGGCTAGCAAAAGGCAGGGAGATTTAAGCTGCTAGATTAAGTTACTTGGAGCCGGCGTATCTGGGGAATCCTAAGTAGCAACGGGCTACTTACGGGCAGCTTATGGCAATGTTGGTAGTATTTGACGTATACACTTATAGTATTTCCTGTTTATGTATCTTGTCTCTTTCATTTCATTCTGTCACGCGTCCCCTTTCTCTATTACTATACTCCCTCCTAAAACCTAAAGTTTACCACATTATAAATCAGGTCCAATTTGTGGCTTATGACAGCTTCTCACCTGCCCCTTTTTTAGTCCTGTGACAGGACTCTACCCAAGATCCGGACCCCTCTCTATATGATAACATCATTCTAGTTCGTGTCTACACTACAATCTGTAATGTAAGTAGATGCTTTGAGCCTTGCGATACGTGTCTACAAGTCTGGATCCGGCATTTCCCCAGCCTTTTCCGGGTTCACGTGCTCCGATCTATCCAAACCTATGTACGTACCCGTAGCCCGACGCCAGCACGTCCCTGGGCCTACGTAACGTTAGAGTTCCAACTATATATATAATTATAGCTCTTAGGGTTATTGGCCGAGTTGGTACGGCCTAGCGATGATTTACATACCCAGCGTTACTAAGCGTTATTATACCTACTCTATATCGTTAGGCACCGGGGGTTCGATTCCCTCGTTGGCCAATTCCTTTTTTGTTCTTCCCCCTTCCGCCCTTTTCCTTTTGAATTGTTAGCCACCAACCTTCATCTTTTTGCCACACTGACCAGCAAGTATACAAAGAGCGCACGATTGGCTTTATTAATTTACCGGTGTTGAATGCCATAGAAGTGTTTCCACAGTGGAACAAGCAGCTGCACAGTATCTTGTTCACCCATCAGGATGTTCTTCGATGGCGTAACAAGTACCGACCAAACCAGATATATTGCCATTGGGGAGGCGATCTCGGTTCGAAGCCCCTGCACTCCATGTGATTAGTGGCATCTCGTAATAGTCATCAGGTGACTGGCACTTACCGGCTCAGAATTTCCCCGTACGCTCGCGAGTCAGCAGCTAAGAGCCAATATAACGCCTTTCTTCACGGTCAAAAATTTACTTGTCGTGACAGGGTACAATAGGGCTTACAGGATCAATTGCTGACCGTCCTATCTCCGCCGCCTAACGGAGAACGAAGAGACAAGAAGAAAAGTGTCTACTAACCAATGAAAGATAACTCTATCACCTTAACACGAGGCGGTATATCCATGACAAACTGGAGGCAAGAGACCGCGTAAGCTTGTCGAAGCAGCGGAGGCGAAAGCTCGAGACCTTACCATCGTCAGGTTATGTAGTATTGGAGACTGGGCGATCCGCCATTAGTCAATAAAAATAATGTTAGCCAGATATCACAGAAACATGTTGGCGGTGTAAAAACAATATTTGTCACCTCAGCTAGCGTTTTTGAGTCTAAATGGTGTAAAGCTTTGATGACATGATAGACTTCTTGCCTTTCGCAACCCCTATACCTACCGTAAGAAGAAACTGGTCCGCTAGCTTCCTGACAACTGTCTCATGTGAACAGAGGCTAAACGAGACACTTACAATGATACGTGACTGCTGGCCTCTCCGTCGAACCCGGTTACCGAGGAAGAACCTTCAAGTCGAGGCATGAGCGGCATGGTTCATTACCGGCACATTCGGCTTGTGTAAATTGCAAATTTGCCTAGCATATGATAGTGGTGATATGGTCCTGACTCAGCAGAGGGAGTTAGGTTTCGCAAAGATCACGTCCGCGGCACGGCAATGCGTCACGAGCCACTGGATACCACCCATGAAGGCCACAGGGTGAAGGATTTCCCGTTTGGCGTTCAAGTTCATGATGATGGCGCGTTCAGTACTACCACGAGTTAATGATTCATGAATCATATTACCACAATATTGAGAGAGAAATACAGGTAGAGGAGTAGTCGAAATATCCGTCATGATGTAAGCGTGATGGCTTATCAAGTGAGCATAGACTTGCAGGTGTAGAGGTTCATGTGTCTCCAGTAGAGAGCTAGTGGATGCGGAAATTATACTACGCTGACAACCTCGAGCATCGGCTCGCATTGCTTACCGAAAGATGTAACAATAAGTAGAGAAGGCGGACGATCGGGTAAGTGTGATGCGTGCTGTTTGCCTAGAACCAATGTTTCGACGTGGGCGCTCGTGAGAGGACAGATAATTGCTGTATGTTGGTTCCTCGCAGGGAGCCCCATGGCCATGACCTATTCGTTCTGTTGTCGATATGACCAGCGCGTTGTTATTAACGATGCCATTAATTCCAACGACAATAAACCAAGTTGAAGGTTACTGTGGAAGCGCTCTAAGTTGCCTATGCTAATGTGGAGAGCACACAGTGCCGAGATGAGGAAGAAAATATATCATTTGTCATCCCTGCGGATATCCACGCGAGGTTGGTGTGTTAGATCCACTAGCTCGTGATAAAAATAATATACGACATACACAAGTGGTACCCAACAGTTCAGACAAGAGCTGGTGAACAGCGCATCAAGAATCGCGTCGGCCGAACTATTTTGCAATATATCAGTTGGACTAATTCCGAAGGGATAGACATTTCATCGCGACAGGAATCGTTGTGGATGATGTGGATCGGAGGGGTAGTGAGGGCGACAAACAGAAGGGGGTAGGCAGGTTATTCAAGCGATTGGACTAGATTCAGCGATGGCGGGATCTACCAGGGGGGCGTTGGGGCTCAGATCTCGTAGGGCTGAAAGGGCACCACAAAGACAGTATAGCCGTGGACGATCATTGGTGTACTATTACTGTTACGGTGACATCTTACATGCGTCAGCGCGTTCAAAGTACGTAGCCGTGGAGCCACGTCATGTCAGCCAGCGTTGGAGAGCACCAATAATAACGACGACAAGAGGCTGCAGATTATTGTTGATACCTTCAAGATACCCACGTTTCAATAGTCGAGGATGTTCGACAGCTAATCACGTCTCGTACCGGCGTCCTGGTGACACTCGCGCCATTCGCGTTCGTTCAATAGAGCTGGCTTGGCATTACCTACGCAAGAAATAGGCTAATCCTCAGGGACAATTAGTTGGTAGCATTGCAGGTAGATCTCTCGCAAATCGTGGCAGGTCCGAGCAGGCGGCCGGGACAAAAAACAAACCATCTTTTTCCACACACCATCAGCTGATGGTTGACAAGATTCCATGGCAGTCACTAATAGCTCGCCGGCCTCAAGGTCGAATGGGACCAACTATTGGAGGAGACATGGGGGCGCAGTCGCGTAGATCTACTAGCGAGGGGCCTTTGAGTGCCATTGAGGGTCGACAAGCTTCCTCGTTAGGCCGTCGCCGAGCTATCATATCCCGTATCCCCCGAGAAACCATCGACCTCGCGGTGAATAGTGGTACATCTCATCTGTGTACAATAGATATGCGTATGCGTACGCATAGTGTCTCAGGCTAGTCCGGGTCAGATGAACCCAAGCAAGACAGGGATGCCAAGGATGCTAGGATAGTGTACCGTACTGTACCCCATATGCATGGCGTTTGCGCCTAGATCCACCATCCCCTACGATGCGAGATGATGATGGCGATTGGCGCTCAACACACCACTACCGCCTGCCGGCTCTTCAAGGTTGTGCAACAGCCCACAACCCCGAGAGGGTGACGGTTGGAGGCCGGCAAGGCTCTTGCTTTCTGGTCTGGCATTGATTGAGGAAAAAAAAAAAAAAAAAAAAAAAAAGAGGGCATTCTCATTAAGCCCCCAATCCGGTCGCCACCAATGACCACCAACGGGCTTCCTCCTTCCTTCGTCAACCCATCGACAGGCATCCCCCCAAGAAGCGGTGAGGCGATAGAGGTTAGCGAATCCGCTAAGACATCTTGCCTCGTGTTGCGCGGTGAAGAGAACAGTAAGTGATGCTTCGATCTATTGGCCTCGTCTGCTTACGAAATATGGTCTCCGGCGACTCTCGGTATCTCCAATCCAGTCCAGGAACAGTAGTGTACTGTGAGTAAGACGAAGGACTCGAGGCCTATATGTTCAAGTGCATCCTGTCAGGTGTGCGACATCGGAGGCTACTTACTACGACGACGACATTCACTGGCCAGCAGCCGAGAGGAGGTGAGGCCAGAAGATGATGCCGTATCACCTGATAAACAACGGTTCTGGGGCGGGTTTTGGGTTCTGGGTCCTGTTGTTGTGTGTCGTAGTATACAATCCGGCAGGTACAGCACACAGCCACCTGCCTGCATACATATGTACCTACATACATGCAGGTAGGTATGTAGATACTGATACCACTGATACGTACCTACTGCATACCACTAATACATACCACTGATACCCGGTCACATGCAGTGTCGGTATGTGCGGCATGGAGGCCCCGTGTGTGTGCATGTGCATTATCACTTCAGCTTTGCCTATCCCAGAAGCTGGGGAAGACCTGATTGATCAGTTCGACCAGAACAGCGGCTATTAAGGCTGAAGACCTTGTACACGTACATCCGTACCTTGCGCATACACTACTTACCTACTAAATATTTAGTCGATGGGGGCCAAGGCTCCTCGCGTGGTTTCCCGTGTCCACACCTTCATTGATATTAATATTGATATGGATATGGATATGGATATGGATATGGATATGAGATTGGTTTCGGGGCTGGTATATCACTGCCGTATACGGATGTTCGTCTCGGTCCCGTCGCGTATCATTAGCACGCAGTCACTACTTACAAGTGTGTTAGCAAGAATGACTAATGTAATCGTGAGGTGGGAGCATCTGTACAGTACCAGTACTTAGCCAGGTCGTGTCAAGGGAGATGCGAGCCTTGGCTGCAATAATACCAGCGGGGCGGCAGAGATAGGGCTATATGTGCAGGGGTGGGCGGGGTCCTTTTTCAGGGTACGGTAATTCGATACTGTAGAAGTTAGCGTACAGGTACTATAGACAGGTAGGCCGTGAGAAGTTCTGTGTTTCTGTCCCACTACCTATCCCACTACCTACCTGACCTCATCTCATCCCACCGTCCCACCATCCACCACAGCACAGCACAGCACAGCTACACTACACGCGTACACCAGGTATATAGCCGCAAACGCGCACCTATATCGAGGCACCTAGCCGCAGTATGCATAAGGTACATACATACATATGTAAGCTGCTTTAGATGTCTCGGATGCCTCAGTACGCGTCAGTCTTTGCCTCTTTGCCACGAACAAAACCGCATTCAACGACACAATTGTAACGCCTTTCAGAGATTCCTGCTGTTGAGCGATCTGCTATGCGCGGCTTTCAAGGTGATCATCCCAGAACATGCCGCTCTGGGACACTGTGACTTTCCGTATCTGGGCAGCATTCGGGTACAGTACCTACTTATACATATACCACCAGGTTAGTAGGTATGTAGGATGTAGGTAGTACATGGTACAGCGCCCATGGTCCATATGGCCCATGTCAGTTCAGCTGATGGAGGGGAATACCTAGGTACTATGTACAGTAACGCGACCCTGCCCTGGACCCCTCCTTTCAGGTTTTGAGGGTTCCAATTGAGGTAGCCGGCCTACCTTACTGTCTCAATCTGCTATCTACCGACTGCGGACACGTACTTACCTAAGACTGAAGAGGTAGGTACCTACCTACCTACATGTAGTTAAGATACCTACAGTATGTTCCCTATCGAGCCTC